AGTCACTTTTTCTTCTTCCTTGTACTTCTATATTCTATGAGCCTTATTAATTTTGGAGTCGGATCAAAAGATCTATGGTTCAAAATTCCCAAAGCTAAAAGAACAAAAGTCAGATGTTATTGGTTGAGAATGGTAGCCAAACTATTAAGGTAAGTTACTATTATACATCACCTATTTGACTCTTTTTTGTTCAATTATTTTCATGGAAGATTATGCAGGCAATTTATTATCTTGAAATCCTGGCTACAGTTTTTTAAATCAAAGTAATAATTGATTTTGTCAAGGTGTTTTAGTTTCTCAGAGTTTACAAAGATCCCCAAAATAGGTACCATTAATGTAATTTGTAAAACACATAGATTGAAGCTTTGCATATTTGCATAAATTAAATCTACCAGTCATTAATCCGGAGGAGACCTTTGTCAGTCCGTGGTTGTTTTCTGATCCTCTGGACACAAAGGGAGTAGACAGCATATCTGAATGGCTCCGTCTGGCATTGTGTGATCCACCAGGCAGGTCTTAGGCCTATGAGTCAGCCCTGGGCTGTATTCTGTTCTGTGTGGACAGTGACAGAGTACTCCTGGGATTTAACACTTTTTGTCTGGAGGTCGTACAAATTAGATGCCTTCACAAAGTAAGAAAAATAACTTCCCAACCACATTACAACATAAACACTCCTGAACTTAATGTATTTGGGCCATAAAAATGATTTGTAGCATGAGTGGCCAGAATATAAAAGCATATAAAAGGCAGATCGAATTTATTCTGGAAAATACCATTTCCCATTCTGGTAAAGGCCCCCAATAGTTAGCTGGGTTTTTGTTTTTTTTTTTTTTGAGACAGAGTCTCACTCTTTTGCCCAGGCTAGAGTGCCGTGGCATCAGCCTAGCTCACAGCAACCTCAAACTCCTGAGCTCAAGCGATCCTCCTGCCTCAGCCTCCCAAGTAGCTGGGACTACAGGCATGCGTCACCATGCCCGGCTAATTTTTTCTATATATTTTTAGTTGTCCAATTAATTTCTTTCTATTTTTAGTAGAGACAGAGTCTCGCCCTTGCTCAGGCTGGTCTCAAACTCCTGAGCTCAAACAATCCTCCCGCCTCGGCCTCCCAGAGTGCTAGGATTACAGACATGAGCCACCGCGCCCGGCCGTTAGCTGGGTTTTTTGCAGAAATGTTAAATTATGTTCAGTTTGTATTTTGTCCTTCAACATTTCTTTGCCTTATGATTACTAAAAGTAAATTCATTTTCTTGTTTGCATATATAGCTTTTTTATATTTTGTTATTTAGAGTTAGGCCTTTTGGCCTTACAAAGGTTCGTATTTATGAGCAAAGGGTAAAGTATCATGCAATATTATAGCAAAGTAGGAGGGTTTCCTGCAGCGACAATAAAGACTTCAAAACTTATTTCTCCACACCTGGATGTACTTTGGGGTTCTTGAGGTGACACTTGAGTGTTCAAGCCTGATTGAAAGGGTGAGTACAGAACAGCAGATGACAGAGCTCATGCAGAGACTGTCTTCATGTTCATTCCATTGTTCATCAAGTCTTTCTTGACTGCCTGCTATGTACCAGGCATTGTTCTAGGGTCTATGGATAAAATGTCTAGCACAAGAGACAAAAACTTTCACAGAGTTTATATTCTAATGGGGAGAGACCACCAGCACTAAATAAATACATGAAAAGAATTTTAGATTGCATTAAATGTTCCAAAGATAATAAAACAGAAAAATATGAGAGAATATAACAAAAGAGAGTGGCTGAGACCGAAGGAAAAATCTATCCACATGAAGATCTGTGGAAGAGAGCTCTAAAGAGAGGGGATGACAGGGGCAAAGACTCTATGGCAAGAAAATGTGAGGTTTTTACCAGCAATGGAACATAACAAAGGAAGACAAAGAGGAGGTGGTAAGGACAGATACACAGGCGGGGGCCAGATTATGAAGGACTTGGAAGGAATGGGCGTCATAATTGATTTTATTTTAAGTGGGAAATCTATCCAAAATGCCTCTCACCATGCATGACTTTGCTTCTGAGAATCAATATAATCTTTTCTCAAGAAGAACATCTTTTTTATAAGCATATTCCAGACCGCTCCTCCAGCTGCACGTATCCAGCAAGTCCCAGCAGCCTTTTCAGTCTGTGTTTCAAGCAATTTTTATTATCTAAAATTATTTCAAAACTATTTTTATGGACATTTTAGAAATAAACAACAAAAAAGAATAGTATAACAACCCCAACGATCCACTAATTTGTTAATCTTTTAATTACACAAACAATACATGCTCCCTGCAGATAATACAAAAATCTCAAAGAAGAAAAGGCACTTACAATTCTCCTACATAAAGATAACCACTGATAACTACAATATAATGGTACATCTCCTTTCAGTTTTTTTCATATAAATACATAGGGTGAGTTTTTTTGTTGTCTGTTTCTTGTTTTTGTTGCCAAAGCGAGTTCATTATTATATGTGCTATTGTGAAACTTTGGGCAATATTTAAGCCATTTCTTCTCCTTTTTCCTGTTGCCTCCCAAGGAATTCTCCATTTTACTTGACCTCATGACACTTTTATTTTGGTATTTGATATTTCTAATGTTTATCCATCCATTTTATATGTCTAGAACTGTGTTGTGTTGAGAATAATATCCATATGGTAAACCATCTGCATAGTTGGAAACTGCAAGTTAGTACAGAGGGTACGAATGTGGGATCCAGGTTCTAATTGTGACTCTGCCCCTTAGCCCTCTGAAGATAGCCAAGTTATTAACCTTTCTATGGCTCAATTGTGCCGTTCCTCCAGCAAAACGGAGAAGCACTAAGTTCTATTTCCTAACGTGGTGGATAACGCAGAAGGATGTATGTGCTCATGGTGCTTTCACATACTACTATATTAGCTTAGTAAATGATTACAGATTTATTATTGAAAATTTGTTATTGATGAACTATACTTTCCCACCAAATGATAAACTATCTGGTACATTGATTTAACTGCTCAAAAAACTGTGGTAGGTTATTGTCTTATAACCGTATAATTCAGAAAGTACATTTGCTTGCTAAGCCGTTGATTGATGTTAGTCCAATGTCGCGGCGGTCCTCTTATTTATCAATCAGTGTATGTATCCTACATAATAGGCCACTTGAATTGCAACATTTAGTAATGCTATATTTATCTTGGGACTATTAGGTCTTGATCTGTGATCAAGAGGGGCTAGTTAGTATTTGATCTATCCCCACACCCAAATGCGGGATAGAAAGACCATGAGTGTAGTTGATAAGGAAAACCCCATCTATTACTTGATACATCAGCCACCTGAGACCCTCACCCCTCACAGAAGACCTGCATCAGCATAATACTAACCTATTACCTGGCCCATCAACTAATCTATTACCTGGAGCATCAATATAATGCTAACCTATTACCTGACACATCAACTAACCTATTACCTTAGCCATCTGAGACTCCACTCCTCAGACCACCTCAACTTATTAAAAGTGGGAAAAATCAGGTAGACAGGGCTCAGAATTTGGTGACGAGACCCCTCTGAGCCTGCCAGTGAATAAATTTTGAGTCTCCGACTCTCCGACTCTCCGACTCTCCGTATGCTGCTTGGTTTGTCCTTGGGACCACCTGCTGTAACACTTGCTGTAACACAGTAATAAAAAACTTATTACCTTCATTAATCCACAGTTGTGGGCATATGAGAGCAGGAAGGATCTTGCTAACACCGGCCTTCATGAGAACAGGGGGGGATATTCATCTGGGCCGTACTTAACAATCACCTGTGTTTCATTCCTAACCTGAGACTGTAGTAGTAGGCCTCGAAAATATGAAAAGTTATTATGAAAATGCTGTTTCAAGACTCATTCCTGTCTATAGAGTAAAAAGCTTGTACTTTGTCAACCTCGCCCTTAATAGAAAAATCTGTACTCCGTAAGTAATGACCTTGTAACTGATTGTGTAAGCCCCCTAGCTGTCTGTAGTAAAAATTTACTGTACTTGCCTCACCCAAGAAAAAATGCTCCCTGCCTTAACTGATGCTATCTGCTTCTGTAACCTTGCTTGTTCAAAGATTGTAATCAGTCACGTGGCCAGGCAGGTGGTCTGAGGCAGGTCCCAGACCCCGTGGCTATGGAATGTATGATGTAATTATTTTTCTTCCACTATGTCGTATTTAATGTCACGTAGCCCCCCAAAATTAGTATAAGATCTTCTCACCTTTTCGGCTCTGGACTGCTCTCTGTGCTGCTGTCTCTCAGCGGTGCAGAGGGTAGTCGCTGGCCAACTAATAAAGACTCACAATTTGGCTCAATTCGGTCTCTCAGTGGTCACTTCTCGCACTCTGTATCATAACAAGACGATGCCCTGTTCTTGACATGTTACTAAGCGTATTAGCACAGATCCACTTTAGGCCAGGTGTAGTGGCTCACGCCTATAATCCTAGCACCCTGGGAGGCTGAGGCAGGAGGATCCCTTGAGGTCAGGAGTTCGAGACCAGCCTGAGCAAGAGTGAAACCCCATCTTTACTAAAAATAGAAAAAAAATTACCCAGGCATGGTGGTGCATGCCTGTAGTCCCAGCTGTAGTCCCAGCTCAGGGAGGCTGAGCCAGGAGGATCCCTTGAGCCCAGGAGTTGGAGGTTGCTGTGAGCTAGGCTTACGCGATGGTACTCTAGCCCGGGCCAACAGAGCAAGACTCTGCCTCAAAAAATAAATAAATAAAAAGAAAAAGAGATCCACTTTAATGTATTTGGGGAAGGAACAAAGAATAATTATTTTTTCAAAATTTATTAGTAGAAATAATCAGGCAACAATTATTCATAAACTCCTTAATAGCTCTTTTCCCTTCCTACTTGGCTCTGGAGGGGCAGACAATAGTTCTTGTGCAAACTGTTCATCCTTGATCTACTTTTAAAAATAAATAGCATAGGGCAGCGGCGGCGGAGGTGGCGGTCGCGGCTGCGGCCGGGGGAAGTGAATGGTTTTACCCAGAGGGCCCTGCGCCGCCTTTCTCCGCTGGCACCGGCGCTGCTCTCTGCTCCTCTCCGGCGATGGCGTTCACGTTCGCGGCCTTCTGCTACATGCTGGCGCTGCTGCTCACCGCCGCACTCATCTTTTTCGCCATCTGGCACATTATAGCATTTGATGAGCTGAAGACTGATTACAAGAATCCCATAGACCAGTGTAATACCCTGAATCCTCTTGTACTTCCAGAGTACCTCATCCATGCTTTCTTCTGTGCCATGTTTCTTTGTGCAGTAGAGTGGCTTACACTGGGTCTCAATATGCCCCTCTTGGCATATCATATTTGGAGGTATATGAGTAGGCCAGTGATGAGTGGACCAGGACTCTATGACCGTACAACCATCATGAATGCAGATATTCTAGCATATTGTCAGAAAGAAGGATGGTGCAAATTAGCTTTTTATCTTCTAGCATTTTTTTACTACCTATATGGCATGATCTATGTTTTGGTGAGCTCTTAGAACAACACACAGAAGACTCGGTCCAGTTAAGTGCATGCAAAAAGCCACCAGATGAAGGGATTCTACCCAGCAAGATCCTGTTTCCAAGAGTAGCCTATGGAATCTGATCAGTTACTTTAAAAAAATGACTCCTTATTTTTTAAATGCTTCCACATTTTTTGCTTGTGGAAAGACTGTTTTCATATGTTATACTCAGATAAAGAATTTAAATGGAATTACATATAAATTAATATAAAATGATTACCTCCGGTATTGACAGGTTGGAACTTGCACTCCTTAAGGAACAGCCATAATCCTCTGAATGATTGCATTAATTACTGATTGTCCTTAGTCCACTGGAAGCTTTTGTTTATAGGAATTGGTAGGGCTCATTTTGGTTTTATTGAAACGACATCTAATTATAAATTAGCTGTAGATAGCAGGTGCTTCTGATGAGCTGGAAATGTATATCTGACTTATAAGAAACTTCATGGGTTTCCTCATCTATCATGTAGATGATTATATATGGGTACATTTACAAAAATAAAAGTGGGATTTTTTTCCCTTCGACTTGGAAAAATAAATAAATAAATAAATAGCATAAATGTGTCAATAGAAATCTTTACAAGAATTTAAAAATCATCAGTATGAAAGTATTACCTCTGTTCACTGGCTAAATGTTGACTAAATCTGAAATTGAAATTCTGATAGACTGATGGAAATTAATTTAAATGTAATTAGAGTTATTGTGATTGCAATAAAACACTTGAGTATTTATAACACAAGATCATGTTTCAGCTCTGTAAAAATCATAAATAAAAATAGTTCAGATTTTTATAATTTAAAGTTGTTAAAAGATTGTACAGTCTATCTCAATGTGTAACATTCCACATAGTATAACAAGAGATCAGATTTCTAAACTGCTTAGTAATGGGGATGTAAGCATCAGAAAGATGCTTATCTGGGAAACTTGTCAGGTCCCCATCAGTCTTTAGAGTTCAGGATTCTATTTATCATATGAAAACACTGTTTGGAGAATAGATAGCTAATAAAACTTGCTTTGGAAAGTAACACATTTGACTTTGAGTTAGCTTAGATAAACTTAGGGATGTAAAATATAAAATTAGAAAGTTATCTTTTGTCATTTATTTATTTGAAAGTTTAAAAAAAACTACCCAGAAAATGTAAATAATTGCTATCTTCCTAAGTGCATTTCAGATTCCTTAAAAATTTTTCTTATTTTCTCAATAAGTTTGATTAAATGATAGAGTATATTTTTTGTCCAGTCTTTTGTCATCAATTTCTCATGTTACTCTAAACACATATTCTTCTGAAAGCAGAGACTAGAATTTCAAGGCCAGGTGAGGTGGCTCACATGTGTAATACCAGCACTCTGGGAGGCTGAGGTGAGAGAATTCCTTGAGGCTAGGAATTTGAGACCAGCCTGGGCAACATATCGAGACTTTGTCTCTATAAAAAATTTTTTTTTTGAGACAGAGCCTCACTCTGTTGCCCTGGCTACAGTGAGTGCCATGGTGTCAGCCTAGCTCACAGCAACCTCAAACTCCTGGGCTCAAGCAATCCTACTGCCTCAGCCTCCCAAGTAGCTGGGCCTACAGGCATGCGCCACCATGCCTGGCTAATTTTTTCTAGATATTTTTAGTTGTCCAGATAATTTCTTTCTATTTTTTAGTAGAGATGGGGTCTCGTTCTTGCTCAGGCTGGTCTCGAACTCCCAGGCTCAAACAATCTGCCCGCCTCGGCCTCCCAGAGTGCTAGGATTACAGGCATGAGCCACCGTGCCGGCCTCTACAAAAAATTTTAATAAAGAAAATTAGCTGGATGTTGTGACATCCACTGTAGTCCCAGCTACTCAGGAGGCTGAGATGGGAGGATTGCTTAAATCCAGGAGTTCAAGACTGCAGTGAGTTACAATCTCACAACTGCACTCCAGCTTGGGAGACAGATTGAAAGTCTATCTCACAAAAAAAAAAAAAAAAAAAAGAATGTCACGTGATAGACCAAATTCGAACTGTTTTTAATGCAAAATATTCTAACCTATAAAAAACAAAAGCAAAGATAGAAAATAGAATGTCTCAAATCCCCTAATTAAAAAGAAATGTAAGTACTTAGGTATGTGTAAAAAATTAACCTCATGAATATTAATATACAACACCCAATATTAATTCCCTTCACCCCTCCTCCTATTGTCTCTTCCCTCCCAGAACCATTTAGGAGAAAGAGGCTCTAAGGTGGCAGAATATTCTGCAGTGTCATGACATTCTAAGGAGATAAGGAGAGAACTTAATGTAGTTAGACATGGTCTTCAGTAAAGAGGCAAAAAAGGCAAATGTTATGAGGACTACGAGATATTTGGGACAAACTGTTCAGCCTTGGAAAGATTACCTATTTTTTTTTTTAAATAAGTCACTTGAATCTGTATGAAGGAAAGTGGTTGAAATTGTTCAAATGACTCTCTTTTATAGCAATTCAAATTTCAATCACTTTCTCTCACTCATTAGTGATTTATACCTGACACTGAAATGAACAACTTAAGTCTGAAATAGGGTTGTGAGAGGAAAAAAAGGCACCTATCTAATAATCCTCATCCATTTTAGGTCACCAGAAATAACTTGGAACACAACAAAAACAACAACGACCACAATGAAGAACAAAAAGCACTCTTTAATGTTTTCAGTATTCATCATGTATATTCAGCAAGAATAAAAACTCTTTTGAGGTCAGAATGGTGTAAAATGGACCATTAAGAACGATGTCTGACCTGTTGCAAAAAAAGCAATTAAATTAGAAATGCAATATGTGTAGCATATATTTAAATTTATTGAGGTGAAAGGTGAATACCTGGAATAAAAATGCCAGCTTAGTAGAAAAATGACAACCAAATCAACTCTTTTATTCTCATCCAAAGTATAAATCATGGCTGGTCCTTACTATTTGTCCCTTTTTTCTTCTAGAATCACTTCCTAACAATTTAGGAAGAGATAGATGTTCCTTCTTTAACCATGGTAGACATAAAAAATTTTAGATTTAGATTTAGATAGACATATAAATTTAGGTAGAGAAATAAAACATTAGTCAAGTTATGTAATTAAAATGGACTTAGAAATTTGTCTTCTTGGTTCAAGAGCCAGAGGGACTCAAGGCACACAGATCTGAGGGTCTATTTACTAGAACTGTCAGAGGGAAAATTTCACAGAAAACAGCTAAGTGCTGAAAAGGGGCTCATGATTGTGGAAAGGATTTTATGTTTGAATTTTAAATATGTGTAATAAAACTCCTACTTCTCTTAAATGTGTATGCCATTTACTAGACTTGCCTCTATAAAAATACTTTGTTCTATTCCTGTAATCAAATGCACTCACTATACCATATAATTTCCTTTAAGAATATATACAAACTAAACACTTGTAAGTTATAGACAATCTGTTGGGATAATGTTACGATGTTGCAGGTTTCAACTGTAAATTTCTAGCCCTTGTTAAACTCAACCTAAAAGTGCACCTCAGAGAGTGTGTTTGCTTCTTTCTGATTTTATTCTTAAGGCAGAGTACATGTTCTTCTCACTGTAGACACCTCCTCTCTGATTAGAGTTACGTTGTTACATTGTTCATTTAGGAAAAGTTTCTCCAACCTGTAGGTAGCACTGAACAAACATTAAAAGTAAAAGAATATGGTCTCCAAAAAGGTAGAGAAGACATCCATCTACTTAGTAATTCTGTCTTAAAGTCTTCCCTCCACCCTATTTTGCTAATATAAATTCTCATGCATCTAATAAAAAAAAAATGAGACTAAAAAAAATCAGAAATAGAGCAGAAATTCAGTAGAAATCTTAAAGGGGAGAAGTTGACCTCCTTTGTCTATTTTTAAAGTGAGATTTTTAAGGAAAATAACACTCCATTGTCTTTTGCTATAATCATGAGGAAACATTGATATGTTAACTACCCTCTAGTCCTCTCATGCTGAGGTGTGATAAAATGACTAGCAAAGTATTACCAAAATTTGAATTGTTTCCATGAGATTTTCATTCTAGTGGTACAACTTCCTTATATGTATTTAACCTGGTATTACGTTAGTGTTATATTTTACCAGGAGCAATGTTGTGTATCAATAGAAATTAAATTTGCAAAACTGATCTTCCTAAAAGTAAACAAATAAAATGAGTAAACTCATTGAAATTTCTTCACACTCAAGCTCCTTTTGGCTTTCCCTTTGTTTTGTTCCCTCTCATTCTCTCTCCTACATCTTCGCATTTTTCCCTTTTACTTCCCACTTTATTCTTTTCCTTTTCAAATGAGTTGATTAGCATAGACATTTTTTTCTTCTCTTTATCTCTCTCTCTCTCTCTCTCTCTCTCTCTCTCTCTCTCTCTCTCACACACACACACACACACACACACCATGCACCATGCACCCCATGGCATCTGCTACTGATTGGCTTTTTCCAAAAAGGACAAAGGGTCAGTTAGAGGAGCCATGCCTCGGTTTGCATGCATAGCTCTGGCAGACCAGCTGAAATTGGTAGAAGTAACTGGCATTGCAACTCTGCAGAAAATTAAGTAATTGGATCCATATGTGCTGGCTTACTTGCTTTTAAAAAGAAATTAACTGCAATGTGTAGTTCTGATTTCAATAACAAAGCGTGTAGAAGTAAAAGCACACACCTACAATTATTCATCCAATTTACTTCTTAGCAATTAGCATACCAATCTTTAATAGAGACTTTATATTCAGATTTTGTACTTGTGTTATAGAATAACTGGATGTTTTAAAGCTATTTGCAAGAAAGTAGTAGCTTAACCTAAATAATTTTCTTTGAATAAATACATATATGCATATTTTATAACTCTGTAACTACTATATTTCTGCAAAATTGCATTTGACTAGGAGTTCAGCAGTCAGAAACCCAATGTGATTTTATTTATTTGAAGACAAGACTATGAATACAACCTAATATTTAAATAAAGCTTTGATAAAAACAAAATCATTCTCACTATGTTTTATACCTGCAGCTGTGTAGCTAGCAACTAACAACAGGAACTCAGGGGTCTCTCTGGTTTCAAATCCTACCTCTGTTGTTTCCTAGCTATGTAACCTTGGAAAAGTATTTCTTCTCTCTATACCTCAGTTTCCTGATTTGTGAAACAGGCACAAGAGGGTTATTATGAGGATTAAATTAGTTAATTCAAGTAAAGTTTCTACAACAATGCCTGACATATAGAGATGATCTTTCACATTAAGTTTACTTGTAACAAAAACCGTTACTGGCATACATTTGTTTTATCACTAACTTGCTTTGGCCCTCAGCAAGTCATTTAATGTCAGTTTTCTCATCTGTGAAAAGTAAGCAAATTGACATCATTTCTAACATTTCTCCTAAATGTATATATTTCTATGATCTTATTGGACTTCA